TCTTTCCCAGTAGAGAGCAGCTCTTTCAGTTATTTCCTATTTATCTCTCAAGCAGTCCCAGGATCTCGTCTCATTTTCCCTCTCCAAGCTTTAGGTATGTTTTGTCCCATGACGAATCTATGGCACACGTGCCACAGGTGGCACGCAGAGCCATATTTATCGGCATGGCAGCCCTCAGCTGATTTTTCCGCCTTCCGGAGGGCCGTTTTTGCCATTCCCGAACTTCCAGTGGACTAATTTTCACCCTCCTCAGGCTCCAGAGGCTTTCTTGAAGCCTGGGGAAGCCTAAAACAGCCCAATGGACAAACCGAAAGTTTGGGAACAAATATCTGGGAAAACATCTAGGAAAACTTCCTCCCCCACGGGAGGGCCACGTGCATGTGCAAGGGCGGTTGTGCATGCATGCGCAGGGGGTGGGCATGCGCACGATAGCACATGCACGCACAATTTTTGCACCCCTTTAGAAAAAGGTTAGCCATCACTGGTTAGCCTATTGAAAAGGACTGTGTGATATGATAGCGGTCTTCCCGTACTTGAGGCCTTTCACAGAGAAGAGGGGAGGTCAACCTATTCTCCAAAGAACCTGAGAGCAGGACAAGAAGTAAAGGGGAAAGAGAGAGATCCAACCTAAAAACTAAGGAGAACTTTCCTGATAGTGAGAACAATTAATCATTGAAACGGTTTACCTCCAGAAGTTGTTGGTGCTCCATGAATGGAGGCCTTCAAGAACAGATTGGACAATCATTTGTCTGGAATGTTATAGGGCAGGGGTGTCAAACTCAAGGCCTGGGGGCCAGATTCACCCCGTGGGGTGCTTAGATCTGGCCCGCAGGGCCGCACTGGAAACAGCAATGGACTGGCCCATAGTCACTGTGCCAGTGAAAACAGAGGCCCTCCCGAGCTCCATTTTTGCTGGCAAAGGATTGCAGGACACCATCGCAGCTGAAAATGGAGCTCAGGAGCACATTTTCACCAGCAGAGTGCTCAGACCACCACAGGTGCTCCCAACACGAGTGATGTCACACTAGCCATGCCCTCCTGCCCCCCCCCTCAGATCAAACAAACCCTAATGCAGCCCTCAATGAAATCAAGTTTGATACTCCTGTTATAGGGTCTCTTGCTTGAGCAGAGGGTTGGACGAAAAGACTTCCAAGGTCAACATCATTCTATGTTCCTCACTTCCATTGACCAGAGAGTCCATCTGAAAATCTGTGCCATGGAGCACAGGATCAGGCAAGGATTTTTAAATTTAAGGGGTTTTAGACCCTGACTAGCTGACCATGATATCTCTGGGGTTGGGTTGAGTTGAGTTGAGTTGAGGCACCATCACATTTCGTTCTAGCTCCTGGAGGGCTTCTCATGGCTTAACCTCTGTGTCTATCTAGTGCTTTGCACCTGCTGTTGTTCGACATTTCCTTAGTTCCTACAAAGTGTTTTTTGAAGCCATAGAAATAGATTTAGAGGCCTCCAAATGTGCAATGAACCAACCAAAAATTTGAGATCCCTGCATTAAGCTATGTGATGGCATTGCTGGTACACATATATACATAGACACTTGCTTTACTTACAACTATACACCAAACATCTCCAAATGATTTATTTGCCACCTAGTAGTCATTTGGATTTTTGCAGCCCAGGCATGTACCATATTTTTCGGAGTATAAAACTCACCTTGAAAATCTGGGTGCATCTTAGACATCGAATACAGCATTTTTTGCCTCCCAAAGCCCCCTTCACCAAAATGGTCGTGCATACCCTTATGGAGGCTTTCAGAGAGCTCCTGGGGGCTGGGGAGGGCAGAAATAAGCAAAAAACAGCCCATTTTTTGCCCTTTCCCCCAGCAGCACTCCATAAGCCTCCATAAGATTATGCATGCAATTTTTTTGATGAAAAATGGGGCCCTTTTTTGCTCATTTTTGCCCCCCCCCAGGAGCACTCTGCAAGTTCCCCCCCCCCAAGCCTATTCATGCCTTTAAAAAAAAACAGGCCATTTTGGGGAGGTTTGCAGAGTGCAAAAACTTTTTTTTCCTTTTGGAAAGCTCTTTAACTGATTGATGAGAATTA